CTACTCTATATATATATATATATATATATATATATAATCATTCACGAATCGAGAATGTTTCGAAAGAATAGAAATAAAGCTGGATCGAAAGGACATTTTGTTTCAATCGTTAACACGTTCAACCTTGGAATACGCGAAGGAATTTCAAGTGCACGTCGATCGTGGCGAATACGTTGCTATGAACCGTGAAATGGAGGGACGATTTGCGGCTTGATGTCTTTCTCTGTATGGTGAATGTCCGCGATAGAGGAGATAGGAGATAGAAGGGAGAGGCGGACGAACGCTTGGCTATTTTAATTATCGACGCGCGATCGAGACAGCACAGGTCGTACGTTGGTGCTCGATGCGCGATACAGATCGATTGTAAACCCTCGTAGTCTCGATCCGTTATTATACGGCTCGCCGTTTAATATAATTTTCGATCTCTCGTTGCGATACGATATCTTGTCGATATCAAAATTATAAAAAAATATATAAAAATTTCATAATTCATATATTTTGTCGATTTCGAAAGCTTGTGGCTTCCGTGTTGTATTCGATGTTGTATCCTTGGAATTAACGATCTGTTCGTATTATTCTCCGTCCTCTCTGTTCGGTGAACGGTTACGCGGTGACAGTGCAAAAACGTACGGTCAATGGAATCGGACGTGGATGACGCGCCAAACAGAGATGTACGCTCAACGCCACTCCATCGAATTATAGCAGCGTTGGTATATAGCGGTGGACACTGCTCGCCCCGTCCTCCAACCGTTAAATCGATTAATCCGACGAGGAATGCGCGAATCATCAATGCCACGGCTGTGCAACGCACTTCTTCTTCCCGATTCTATGCCGATTCTCTTCTGCTCCGCCAAAGATTGCTCGCGTTGTCTCCTGCCTAACCGTTATTGTGCTAGGGACTTTTCGAGAAAGGTGGTATTAGCGGTCGCGCGTAATTGTGCAGTCAAGCGAGACATGCTTCCACGCATCCATTGTCAGCGAGTGATTTTGCTTCGTTCAAAGGGATTGGACAATTTTTTATTTAGGAAGTGGTATGAATGAGTTGAGAATTTTTATCTTAATCTCAAACTTTACGAAAGGAGAATGGTTTGTACTTTTTACAAGTTGGAGATATTGAACGATGTAAAATCAAAGAGGTAAACGATGACGAGAAATTGTTCGAGAGATTCATCGGAAGTGTAACATTTCGAGATTTCTCTTTACGAAGCGTTCACTCGTGAAGTCATTGTGCCCGTATCGCTCGATGAAATTTAGGCATTGAATTGCTTTTGAACGATGCAAGAGAGCATCGACGTGTCTCGACGAGCAGCGCATAATACCGAAGTTGACGCGTAGCAAACGAGATCGAGGAAATAGCAAAGTCATGTAGACATCAAGAAACCCGGACCTGTCCTACTGTTCTGCGTTACGGAGGTCCGGTGTATATAAAGCGATTTACGTGAGAATGTTTGCACTCCTTTATTCGAATTACTTCTTTTCCAATAAATTGTATAAACTATAAAATGAAATAAATATTTGATATCTTATATAGATAATCGCGATTATTCGATTAAAAATATTCGCGTAATATTTAAACGTAGTTAGACCATTATGCATTTAATGCGCGTAAATATACATAAACATGCACGCGCTATTAATTTTCATACATCTCGCAGAAACATCTCGCAGCTTCTCCCATCTGAAAGCGTAATTCACGCTTATTACCGTTCGACGAACCTTATCCTAGAGCAATCGTGATAATTGCGATAATAACAGTAATCGCGATAACAACGGTTTACTCCATTGTATGAGGAGTAATGCGCATTAACTTTATTACGACGACTTGTAATCGTCACCGACTGAAACACTCGAGGGATGCTACAGTGTATCTAATTTACCGACACAATCGTCTCATCACCAATGACAGGCAAAAAATACTTGAATTACGAACAATCTTATAACCAACTTGTAATTCAATTTAACGAATTAAATACTATTTTAATTCAAACACCAGCATTCGATCGTTACGTTAATCGGAAAATATTTCTATTTTATCGTACAATAAAATTTCGTTCATTACATTTTAATTCCCGAAATAAAAGTTCCAGAATTTTCTACCACGCACATTTTTGACGACTAGTAGAATACAATCTATTGTATCTCCACTCGTCACAACTGCCATGCGACATCGGTTCGAATCGAATAATTTTTTCGCTTCGATGTCGCGCACGCTTCGTTTTATTCTCGATTCGTCGAGATCCAAAGAGTAAACGCGAGATGGACTATTTGGAGTTAATACGAGGTTGTAAGAGGCGCATAAGCTAGCCGGCTTGGATCGTTTCGAAGCATATCGAGGTGTGCGAGTTATGCGCCCGTACTTACTCGAGGCACGTAAGGTACCCCCGTGTACAGGCGGAAAAGATAGGGAGAGTGAGTGCGTTGCCTGGTATCAATTTGTCTGGCTGGTAGCACAGGTTCACTCGACCAGACGAAGGTCGCTTTGTGCGAGCCGCTATCCGGCATTCTATCAAACCCAACAACGTTCGCTACGATCGATTTATTCTCCCAACGACCGCGTAAGATACCAATTACCCGTACGCTGCTCAACTTCCAATGGAAATCGGCGGTTAAGCGCGCTTTGTGCCCCTCTCTCTGTGCTTTTATTTTCTTTTATTTTCCGCACGTTTAGAGACGCTCGACAAATTTCCACCCGATATCTACCGTCGATAAATCAAATTTTCTATATTCGTGTTAACGATTTAACATTAAACGAACAATAATGAACAATCGATGTAATGATAATTTGAAAAGATATAAAAGATATAAAATACATTTCGATTTATCGCGTTTATATAAAGAATTTATTAGCACATGTATATCGATATATATATATGTATGTGTATGTGTATTCAAACACGCAAAAATAGAAGGAGAAAGGAAATAATAGGTAAGAGATTAAATCGAGAAAATTCAATTAGCCTAATGAACCGATAAAACGGTTTCATCGTCGTATCCCTTCGAGCATCGAGGAGGGTCTGGAGAGAAGTGGCTATTTATTTTTTCGTCGCGTCCTCGAAATTGTCGGCGCAGTTATATCCTAGGCTTCCTGGAAAAAAAATCGATGGCCTCGAGGAAGAGTTTAGGCAGTTCTGCTCGAATGTGCATCCTTATGCACCGACGATCGACACGGCTCGATCGAGCCTTCATTCCGCGAGTTGGAAATTATGGAAGGCAGACTCGATCGATTTTGATAATCTTCCCGGTCCCAATCGTATACTTGCTAGCGTTTTCGATCATCCGTTTTCGTTC